GTTAACGTTAACGTAACGTAACGTAACGTAACGTAACGTAAGTAACTAGAACTACGAACGAGACGAACGAGAGAGAGAGAGAGAGAGAGAGAGAGAGAGAGAGAGAGAGAGAGAGAGAACTCGTGCCAGATTGGATTTTTTTGGAAAATCACTTAAAATGGTTTTGCAATTAATCCACTTTGGGGGCCTAAATGCAATTGGGAAAGAAAATAGACACGCCTTGAGGTCAAATTGCAATTGAGCAAATGACAATTTGGTCGAAATTGCAGTACAGCTCAGAAATCAAAAAGTGCCTTAGTTGAGAAACCACCTCAAGAATCCAATCCCTTTCTAACAGAAACATATTCCCTTTCGGGGGGCACTCCCCTTCCTGAGATGCAGTCGATTTACGATGCTTAACTAACAAACTGGAGATGGAAACCCAACACAATTTTGATGCTCAGAAATTTGCAACCATGATCCTTACTCATTTCAGCTGTCACTTTGAAATGTTAAATCAAGTCTAATGTATATGTCTTAACTATGATCAGGATTTAGGCTACTTAAAAGGCATCATTACTTTTATCTCTTTAGTCATATATTTTTCTGTGCTTTTGTATCTCCTGCTTTCTCTTAATAGTGTTTTGTATTTTTAAAAATTTTCCAAAAGTTTATGTTTTTTAGTGGTTTCTGTTCCATGAATTTAGTGTTAACCTTGGACAAGAGTGTGAATGAGGGAGCTATATACATCATGATAGTGCGTGTGAGCTATGTGCAACTAGCTCCATCTTATTTTCCATTATTTATTATTCGACATACGGCATTTTGTATTAAACTTCTCAATAGTCCTTAATTAGGTTGGTCGCAAGTGCAGGTCACTAGTCTTCCATGATTTTGTTGCAAAGTGCCTCACAAAAGAGCCTCGTCTACGACCTAATGCCACTGAGATGTTGAAGGTAAAGCTAGAACATTCCAAATCAAGGAATGATTCTTTACTTTGGCTCCATTTTTATGGGGTTTACCCTAAACACTGTAGATTACAGAATCATCTCTCAAGATTGTTCATTTCTGAGGAAATTATATTCTTCTGAATGGGTCATTATCATACATAACTGTAACTGTTTCCAAAATTTGGCTGACAATGGCAATAGCTAGAAAGTTATTATTTGTCAAGACAATCTTGTCCCTCGTATATATGAGTTTATGTGCCTATGTTTTTTTTTTTGTATATACTGTAAACTGATCAGATTCTCCTACTAAAATTGGGAAAGGAATAGCAAATAGTTTCATTTGAGGTTCCTGCTTCAAGCCACATTGATCTCCTTGTCTGAAGGCATGCATAGGTTGGATGATGACTTGATATGCATGTTATTGGATTCCTTGACATTTGGTTTTATTCTTCCTCAAGAGTGGGGCAAAGCACTTGTGCTGCATGAAGAACTAACTAGAGAACTTCCAATGAAATCATGATTAACTACCAGAAATGAAAAAAATTATTCTTGTAAAGCAATCATTGTCAGTAAATTGAGACAATCATATCCGGCAGACTTGTATGGAATGAAATTCTGGCAGTTTCAAGATTGACTTTACTTGATTCGTTCTTAGTTCATGAACTGGGCAAGTACCATTAAGATCCAAATAGGAAGTGGCTAACAGGAAAGTGTCTACAGTAGAAAATTGCTGCAGACAACCTGTATTGATTGGTATGCTAGGTCCAATTAACACTGATAAACTTATATAAGAAACAAAATCTAATAAGACGATAGAGTGCTGCAAAACATGAGTTATCACTTGAGGCTTCTACCAACCAAAAGTAAACTGTGTTGAAACATTTAGACTAGCATGTCAATGGTCATCCATTGGCTTCTTTTACCTAGCAACAGCGTAAACTCATTTAAATGTTATTCTTATTTAGGATAAATATTTTAACTTAGGGCATCTTACCTATTGTTCTATGTTGATTCCACTCATCTTTTTATGTAAGCTACACAGAGTGACCCCTATATGGCCAGTCTTTTCGGTTGATCTCAGTTTAATGAGGTGTTCGCAAAATCGAACCGGAACGGTTAACCAGGCATGGGCATGGAAGCGGTTTAACCGGCCTAACCGGTAAATAGGCCGATTCAACCGCTCTAACAGGGCAAGTCCCGGGTGGTCAAAAAAGTGTTGAAAAAAATAAAAAAAAATACCAAAAAATCTGATAAAATATGAAAAACATATAAAAAAGGAAAGAGTTTATATATCCATCGGAAAATGTTGTTTTAATGTTGAAAATCCCTCTGATTGTTGATCTCGACATCGAGATGTATGACTAAGAAAATAAATGGATTTTGAGTCTCAAAAATGGTGCATCTTACAACATATTATCTAGACCGTCCATTTTCAATATTTTCATATGTTTATAGATCTACTTGATTTTAACTATTTTTGGAGTTCAAAATTTAGAATTAGATATAATAATAAATTTTGAGATAATCCTAAAAATATTTTACATAAAAATTATATGTTATGATAAAATTTGAAGGTGCGCCTTAATTGGATTGTTTATGGTTAGAACCTTATGGAAACCACACCCTATAAAAAATGATTAAAACAAAACACATTCAAATGAAATTGAAAAATAATGAAAAAAAAATGGATTTTAACCCATTTTATATTTTCCACTGGCTATTTTTAAAATTTTCTAAAAAAGATGGGAAAATATAAAAGTGAGTATTAATGACCAAAATTTTTTTTAATCTTTACCATAATGTAAAGAATATTTAAAAATGCATTACAAATCAAATTCCTTATTTTTGAGAATTTATATATATTTTTGAATTTTTTTTTTAAAATACTGGTTGATCACTCTAACCGCCCAAAACTGGAACCGGCCACTGGCCGGTTCCGATCTAACCGAGCGGTTAGCGGTTAGATCGGGCGATTTTGCGAACAATGGTTTAATGTTATCAGATTATTACCATTGCATGTGGATTACTATCCAACACACTTTTAAAGGTGCTGTGGGCTATGATGCACACAAATTTATGTAATGAAAACCAAAATATGACAATGTATTATGAAACTTCTTGGAAACGATGTATCTGAAGTTCTGCACTTTAATTGCTGATAAAATTCAACTTTAATATGGATTTTCTGGTTATCCTTCATATAAAATGTCTTATTTATTTTCTGAGTATTGAATTCTCGAGATATTCCTCTAGTTTTGTCTTTGTGTACATAGCTTTCATTGGAATAACTAGTCTTGCCGAGCTAGATGATGTTTTACATACCTAGTGTCCTTTTGTTGAGCTTAAGCAATATATGAAGTATCTTTATCTGTTCCAGTGCAATACAGGCAACTTGTGCAATGCCCTCCAACAATGGTCTGACTTATAAGTTGCAATGAATTTAGTCTACTAAATTAAGATAAACATGGGGAATTGTTTGTAGAAGCTACAAAACATGTCTTTTTATACATGGGGAATTGATTGTAGAAGCTACAAAACAAGTCCTTAGAACAATATTACATTTACTATCACAGTCCGAAAAAATTTACTTTTGCCGATATAAGATGGTTTGTGTCTAAATGGTCAAATGATCAACTGCTTCATATGGGGATCTTTTTGAGTCCTATTCTCATGCGGTCAGCAAAAAGTCATTGATTGTCAAATGTTAGTGCCAAAGCTGAGTATCATACGATGTCATGGCAGCTTGACTTGGTTTGGGCATCTTCCCAGAAACCTTCACATTCGGTTTTTGTCCATCTATCATGAACTGTGAAAATAGAATTGCTTCTCAAATGGTCGCAAATTCAATATGTAATGTTTGTACCTTCAATTTTCATCTCTTCATCGTCATGGCAGAGATCAGTTCATGATATGGTTTGATAGTGGATTAACTCTTAGCTATGTTTTACCAAGCATCTTTGTTGTGATCAACACATCTCCTTTTGTCATCAAAAATTTGAATTGGTATAGTGACTTTGCAACTGGCTTGAGAATGTGGCTTGTAAACTTTTTTTTTTTTTGGGTAATTCAGTGGGGAAGACAGGCCCCTACCTGGTTTTTTCAATAGATTAGGGAGTTTCATTTTGAAAGTGTTAGTTAGGGGTGTCAACAGTAGGAATGGATACCACGATGTGGTAACTGGGTGTGGGGATGCTACCACCACAACGCCAGCCCCTTTCCTGATGTGGCTTGTAAACTTCTATAGCCAAACTACATAGGGTTAAGGTTCAAGTAATCGTCAATATGAAAGTATGAATAACATGAATGGACTGAAAATATCAGGAATGGCAATTAATAGTACTAGTATTATCAGTACCAATGACCAATATTATCAGTGTTTATTACCAACAAAAAAGAGTATTATCAGTGTTGACACAAACAAATTCACTTAAATACGAGGCAATTTGTGCTGCTATGATAATTCTAAAAGGTGTGGCTATGTAGAATTCCAAGGTATAAATTCAAAAAAAAAATTCATTTTCTTTATTAATAATTTGGATTTCTACCATACAATTTCCACAATAGAATACAGAAATAGCCTACTACAGTCTAGGATCTTTAACTCTCTCTTTGTCAAATAAAACTTTTATATTTATAAAAATCGGAATTGAAACTTACAATGGTAATTCTAATTATTTATTCAAAAACAGAATTCAAACTTACAATAAAAAATTAGGCATTCTACTAGAATTAGGACTCTTACTATAATTAGGACTTGTAAAACAAGTATAAATCAAGGATTGAAAATAAAACTGGGAAGACTTATTGAACCTTTACCTAGGGTTATCCCCTTAGGACTTAGCACCCCCCCACACCTGATTACTGGACCAACAATGAACTTGATCCTTAGGTCCTACTGAATTCTTTGTAACTGAGAAGCACCCTTGGAATATCCTCTAACTAATTTATGAAGCTAAGAGATTGGGCTACCATGATTAATGTTTCTTTAGACCCTTTAAACTTTTGGAGCATGTCGCTATGTGGCACCTCCCCTTTTAAACAAGATGGGTCTGGGCGTGCCCCCTCTCCTTGAACTAGGTGGGGTGTGCCGCCCTAGGCTCCTATGGGTGGTGCTTGCCACCCTAGAGGGGAGAGAGGAGACTAGAGAGAGAGAGAAAGAGAAAGAGAGGAGAGAGAAGGCTAGAGAGAGAGAGAGGGGGAGGTTCGAAAAACATTAAATAGAATGAGGGGAAGACCCCTCCTTATATTGGCCTTAACGACCCTAGGTATTCCATTGAAATTAGGGTTCAGTTTGACCTTAGGATTCCTAGGTAATCTGTTAGGTGAGAGAAATAAATCAGAGTCATTCATCCTTGAAATCAAGCATTATGTTTTGGGAAGAAATTCAGGAATCTTATCCTCTGAGTCTTTGACCCATAGCCACTTCTAATTTGACTAGAACTAGATCTTCTAGATTCCCATGAAATTTGGACTCTTGCTCACATAGAAATCAAAGTCAACATAAAGATCCAATTCGAAGTCCAAAACTCAGGGTGAAAAAAAATAAATCAACATCATAAGAATATATTTTCAACCAAGAATATCTCACAAAATCTTTAGTTAACATTCTCAAAAAAATAAAAAAAAGCATATCACAAAATCTTACCCATGATTTCCTTTAACTACATTTTTTATAAAATTTAAGGAATATGTGGGGCGGCGTTCCACCTTTGTGGGGCGTGTGGCCCATTTGGGCCCCATGTCCCACTCCATGTGAATCCCCTATGTGTGGAAGCTGGATCCTTGCCCCCCCCAGGTCCCACCATGCCCCTACTAATTTCTTAAATTTTATTACTACCCTTTACAGGTTATTAAGCAATCAAATAATTTATAAAAATTCTAGAAAAAAATATCTAAAATCATGGAACTATAAAGAAAGTTGAAAATAATATTTCTAAAGTTCTTATAAATTCTATAACACTAAAAAATATCTTTAGAAGTGGATTGGTACCAATAGGTCAAGAAAAGTGACTATTAGGCACTCCACCTATTCCACGATCCGTGCTTCTCAAACCATCCCAACAAGTCTCATGATCCACGGTAATGCGCAAGGTCTCATGGCCTGTCAACGTTGGCCAATAAACAGTGGAACCATGATTTTAGTATGTGGATCAAAGGTTCCCCCATCCCTCAGGCACAAGTCACATGCACATATCATGATAGTACAGGAGGAACTCTCTATGCATATGTACACATATCCCTCCATAGGGTTGCTTCCCAGAATATGGCTGTTATATGTACATGTTGCATGGAAGTTTGTTGAGGATTTGACTCTGTCATAAGCATACAACTGCACACAGGAGACAAGAAGCTCTCTTGGCTTACAACCATCTTCTCTGGGCATCTCTCCGTCCTCAACAAGGGATCTATGCTTAGGGGAGAGGGTTTTAGACATGACCTGTGCCATAGACCACCCAACCCTAGGTCAACCAACATACATTCCTACAGAAATGCAATATTGACTATATTTACTATTTTCTATATGCTCTTACATTCTTTAAAGGCCATTGACCACAACATGTTTTTTTTCTTCTAAACGTTTCCAGTTCAATTTTCTTCGGGTTGCTTTGATTGCATCTAGGGCAATTCGCTATTAGCCTAAAATATTGGTAAGATTGGGATTAAACTAATGGTATCAGATAGTGCTAGGCTATTATTGGCATAATCATACTTTTAAATGTCAAACAGCACATGCATGCCTTGACAGAATCATATCACGAGTGCTTATGGCTTACTGTATGTGTTCATGAAACGTCTTCCTTCTTTCTTTACAATCTTATATGTCACACATATTATTCAATAATTATGAAATAAACGCTTTTTTACGAATTACATTGACAATACAGCATAAGTTCATTGAGAAATGCAAATGGAATGCTTCTGTAATGCTACCGAAGATTGAAAAAGCAAGGATCATCAGAGCTGCAATGTCTGCCCAAGCACTCCATCAAGTCCCAGGAACCTCTTTTCCGGGAGGCAGTGTCAGTGTCATATACCGCTTGTAGCTTTTACTTCTCACACTACATATCTGTATCTACTGACATATTCCCTATTTGGCATGCCTGGTCCTCCTTTCTTAGGATATCAATGAAAGTCATGCAGACACAGTACCAACTGAACCTAGTAAAATTCCAACTCATGAAGTTCGAGATGAGACCAGCAAGGTCCATGATGAGGAACCACCAAGAGAGGGTATGCCTAGGACCTTTCTGAAATATTTTTGTTGCTAATGTTCTATTGGTTAAATGAATGTTTTGGGGTAGTTTGCCTATTGTAGTTTGGATGATATTAGAACCTGATTCATCTCAAGAGCAAAGAATACTTGAAAGAATGAACTGCACTCCATATAAATGCATTATTAAGAAAGGATATTTGCATACCACATGCACTTTGTATTGTATTATGATTGTCTTTGTATCCTAGAGGGTGTACTTCTCCATTATGTTCCATGTGGATGAATGTGATTGTTTGTAAGACATGCACATCTTTGTTGTTAGATAATTATTACTCATTAAACAGAACTTCCTTCTCATTAGATTCATGGTTTGACCTGGAATCAGAGCAGTGTGGGGACCAGCACAGGGGCACTAGAATTTGCATCAAATACGAAACATAGTTTGGGGAAATTGTGAATTTGTTTTAGCATTAGTGCAACAAGTTTCTTCACAGTTTAAGAAAATTTTGATTCTACTGACTCTCTTGGAGCCACTTTGGTTTCAAACATTGGGCTTTATTTGTAGTTGATCAAAAAGATCAACTCCAAGGTAATAACGTAGGTAACAAAAAATGATCTGCATTTTATTCGCCCAAAAAAGTGCAAGAAAGGGACCATTCTTTTTCCAATATGCAGGGAGTGTCATATTCAAAAAGAATGAATTTCCTTCACCCTGAAGTGCTCTACCTATCCCTAAAGTTTTCCAAGGTTTCAAAAAACGCTAGGCGGCCTGCCTAGCGCCCAATGCCCAGTGCCTAGGCGGGCGCCCTGCGGTGCAAATTGTTAGTTTTTTTTTTATATATTTGCTATCCAAATGCACATATATGCATATATTTGTTTCAAAATTTATAATTTATTCCATTTGAAATTGAAAATATTGCAAGTTCGCAACATACCTTTTTATATACAAACATATCACATGTCTCAGCCTCTCAGGTAATCAGGTTGAGAATAAACTTATTCAAAATTTTGAACCATTCAAAACATTTAAAAGTCTAATAGGCTACTGTAAGGTCTCCAACTCTCATATTCTGCATATTCCATATCCATAAGGTATAAAATAAACCATAATAACATCCAAGTCTCCAACTCTCCAAGTCATTAACAAACTGACTTCCAAAACTAAAAGGGTATCATGCTAAGGGTAAGTATGTGACTTCCAACTCTTTAACATACCTTTTTTGTAAACTTGTGCATCATGCTAAGGGTAAGTATGTGACTGTATATGAAGATTGTAACCTCCTTAGCTTTAAAAATAATTCCTTTAATAGGAGGCAATTCACCAATTGCCTCAAGCCTAAGATCTACGCAATGTGCAGCGCAAGGAGTCCAAAATATGCGAGGCCTCTTTTGTCGAAGCAAATGGCCTGCAGCTAGATTGGGAGCAGCATTATCTATGACTACTTGAATTACATGTTCCTCCCCAACCTCCTCAATACCCTTATCAATGAAAGAAAATATATAATACGCATCATGAAGATCATTGAAAGCATCGATTGAGTGCAAAAAAACTGTACCCGTGGGACAATTTACTAATAAATTCATGTTACTCCTCCTCCTATCACTCCACATATCTGTCATTAATGAAACCCCAAATTTAGCCCACCCCCCCTTATGAGTCTTGAGATATTCATTAGTGTACTCGACTTCTTTCTTCAATAGTAGCTCTCCAATATTATAAGGAGTTGGAGCTTTCAAACCTAGCCTAAATTGCCCAATTATTTTCAACATTGTATGGAAGCTATTCAAACGAGCAGTGTTAAAAGAAATAACCGCATGGTAAAACCACCGGGCAATATACTGAATCACCCTGACTCTATCTTCTTTTTTAAACCTGTTTTCAATTGCTACCTGTTTTTCCCCCTTTCCCTTGCCTTTCTCAATTACTGTCTCAGGGCTAGGTGTAAAAACACTATCTATAGGCCCTCTCGTACGAGCCTTCTTAGACCCAAAAGCCCTCTTGGTCTTAGAACTCTGAGTACCAACCATGGCTACCTCTTCTTCTCCCTCTTCTTCAGTTTCAATATTATCATAAAAAATATAAGCCCCTGACTTTAATTTTGCTATATCCTTTTTTTTTGCAACTTTTTTACTCGTGTCAGCTTCAACTTTTTTGCAACTCATGGCTTCCTTCACTTATAGTACGGGCACTGATAGTATGGGATCAACTGGTGCAGTTTATCAGGCCTACGATTTGGTCCAAGTTTGAGTGCATTGTAACAAGCCATTTATGCATCCTGATGATTTCATCCTCCCTAAATTTCTCGTTGTAATAGGTAATAGGTATTTCATCTTGTATATATCTGGCTATATCTAGAATACCATCTATCTTCAGAAGAAAAGCCAGTGTTTATTCCTTTTACAGATCTGTTCCCTATTGGTCTGGACTATCCTGCTGGTAATGTCCTTTATTAGGTAGATTGCCTCTGGTGTTTGGTAGAAAGTTTCTCTATTAGGATATTCTATTTTTTGTGATATTGGAGTTGGAATATTGGAAGCATAGGAGAACAGAATTAGATGGCAAGAATTATTGTTTAATCATTATAACGTCCCATTGATAGCCCAATAAGGCCTGGTATTATCATTTGGAGAAGGAAGTTGTCATGATTAGTTCACAATTGTCACTTAGAAACTACATGTGCTCTCTAGGATGGAACCCTTTACCAGCTTGGATTTGAAACAAGGATTTTTTATTATCTCAATTGAAAGTGGCATTGATTAGTAATGGTATAAACTGCTGAATTTGAGCAGCTTAGAGCATCTACTTTGCATTTTTTTGCCCTTCTGCCACCTGTTGAGAATGCTTTATCGGGCCTGTGACATGAGGTGATCAATTTGACATTTTTTTTGTTGCCTGTTACATATTGTTAAGGAGTCGTACCCAAGGGAGGTCATAACCAAGGATATGTGGTAGAGATGTATTGTCCATTGTGTGTCTCTGTGGTCTTACACTCGAACCCAATCATTGATTGTAAAGCTAGATGGAGAATAGCTAAGAACTAAACTGTGCATTAGGGCAGCTGTAATAGAAACTCCTTGGATGGTTCCATCTTCTAATGGCTTCGTCTTTTAAATCTCTGCATCTTGACTTGTACTCTATTAAGGGTTCATGTTGAGCATCTTATCCCAGGTGTCAAAATAAAGTTGGAGTCTATTTTTTGAATTGCTGGGGAAAACATGTAACATATTTAACCATAAATTGATACAATAGGGGATCATAGAATAGTTACAAAGTCTTTTATCTGAACATAAAGCCGTAAGCATTTGGTTTACTCTTATATATTCTTAACAATGACATATTTAAAATTTTTTCAGGAGAGTCTGGAACTTTCATTGTCCATATGCAGTTAGAGCGGGAAGCTAAGGAAATAGCGCCTGCTGGTACGAAAGATATGACGACTTCCATGGATGTCAGAATTCCTTCTTCTCATGCTTTAGAAGATAGACAACCAAAGTTTGAGTAAGTTTTACTTGATTGTTCTCACATCTATGTCAATCTGATATTCATTTTTTCTAATCTTCTGACAGGTCTGTATGCAGTTTTTTCCTATTAAGTATTTATGTTAGGTCCTGAAATCATCTCAACTTTCTAATAGATTGAGAAAACAAGTTATAGAAATTAATGATTTACAGTCTTAAAATCATGTTGTATATGAGCTTCCTTGAAGTCCGTGGAATATTCTATCCAACTGAAATGGCTAACGAAGGACAATGTACTGGGTCCATTTCATTCATTTTAATTTCTGATGCTCTCTATTTGAGACCCGTACTGTATGCAAAGCTGGTTCCTTTTTTTATTTGGGTTCAAAACCAATCACAATATGCATCTAGGTCGTTATTTCATCTAGTTGATTTCCTTGAGATGTTCCTCAGAGTTACTGTATTCCTTATTTTGGTGCGTTCTCGTTAGTGATAAGGTTTGAAGTAAAACATTAGCAAATATACTTTGATTCACTCAGAACCACATTAACATGCCTGCCATACTTAAATGTGTCACCATAAGTTAAACAATCTCTAGAAATGGTCATCTATGGATCTATATATAGAAGGTATCTCAGTCCCACTAGACTTCAGCATCAGACACTTCTATATTATAACTTAAAGTTTATGGAGTTAAAAAAGGGAACCAGAAGTGATCTTTATTTGACATTTTTGCATTGGACAACTCTTGCTCATCATAAATCCCAGACTCCATTAGAATGGAAATGAATTGACTCCAGGGGCAGCAATTTAGGATTAGAATTCCCAGCTGGATTGGCCAGCAATTGTAAAGAATAAAAAACTGACCATTGGATGGATTGTTAGCAAAAAATGACCAACAAATTGAATATGATGACTGTGGTAGTAACCATGCATGGGAAGCAAAAAAGAAAATACGGTTGGAGCAAAACCATATGGTCCTTTCATTGACGGTGGCAATTTTTAAGTGCAGAAAAGTTCTATTTGTGTGGTCCCTGTTTGTGTTAGAAAGGGGGCTTTGAATCTAGTGTGCATGAAATACAGTGCAGCCACATTGGAGATAAAGGGTTTGGAGTTAAACATATGAAACAATGATATTCTTCAACTCTGAAACCATGCAAGAAAAACTACTTTTATGGCAACATAGTTGTATTTCATTCATTACATGTCTGATGCCTCTTATTTGACCAAATACACAAGATCCTAAGTACTCATGATGTGGTGGGGTTTGAATAATGGTCTCAAATGCAACTAGAGAAGAAACCAATTGGTCAGATGTTCCTTATTTGTTTCTTATAAATAAAAATGCAATAACTTGTGGTATCCTTGAAGGGTGGACATGGAAAGAACTTCACCTGGTGGTGTTCCAAGCGTGGCATCAAGTCATCTACCACAAGACATAAATGACTCATTCCCTTCTCTAGACACTTTTCCTGAAAAAAGCATGCAAAAAGAAAAGGCTGCTCCATTGCAAAGAGACTCTGGTGACCCTCAGATGGGGGGTGAGAGCACTTCAGGCAGCACATTGAAGACTGCAACCATTGGTCGCCAAGGCTTTGCTCTTCAAGATAAGGTAATCCCCAACCCATTTCATATCTACTGCCCATTCCAAAGGAATTATCACTTAAAATTTTTACTCAAGTCTAACAGAAGTTTCTTTCTTTTTATTTGTAGTTGTGGTCCATATATGCAGCAGGAAATACAGTGCCCATACCCTTTCTGAAAGCAACAGATATATCTCCTCTTGCTCTAATATCAGACAATGACAATGGAGATAGAGATCCAGATGGTAATGGCACCACTGCTTTGGAGGCCATTCAAGAGCTATACAGTGGAGATGGAACAGCAAGAAAGGGGAGGAGGGCCCAAAATAATGAGGTTTCTTTGTCTTTGTTTCTTCCTGCATCTTTTTTTCTTTTGATGGCAACCTTGTGTGTTCCAGTATCGAGTGATCCTTTCCATTGAACTCAAGATTGCAGCTTCTGTTTCATCAGAATCTATACATATGTTTTCGGCAGGTGCCTTTACCTTCGAGTGTGCATAAGAGATTGACAACAAGTTCGACACTATTCAACCTTGCACAGGCTTTAGCGTATCATAAAATGTATGATTCCAATGGATTTCCAATTAACTCACCTTTTTTAATTCATGAACTGACATTGATATATGGTATCTTTATGAAAACTTTTCACGTACGTGTTCTTTTTGAGTTTTTGTATTTGAGATCTCTATAGATCTGGATGGTTTACATTATGCCAGCTGCCTTTTTGGTATTAGTTTTTTCATTTTATTTTGTTTTAAATCAAGTTCTTTTTTCTCCATGCACCTTATGACAATGATTGGTTTTCCTATTCATGGTTTCTTTCCATATTCATGGTTTCATGAAGTAAAAGTGAATTCTGAGACCTATCTTAAAATCCCTGTCAGTACTTGATTTATTTTTATTTGGTGGTGGGTTGACTGCTGTTTTCCCTCTTGTTTGCTTTGAGTGCGATTGACACTCATATTATGTCATCTGATATCCTCGTGTTTGATGTGGCAGGTGCTATGATGAGATGCCATTGCAAGGTTTGCAAGCTGCACAAGAGCAGCGCACCATTCAGAACCTTGGTGATACTCTAAGGACTATCTTAAGATTGTAACAGTTTTTCTTGAAAGAGATAAATTTGGGTCTAGGGTATATGCATTATCTTTCATATTTAAAATGTGGTTTAGGTAGTAAATATAACTGAAATTTTCATGGAATCATGGTTCTTGACCTCTATCTCGCACACACACACATCAATGCCAGTTGGTTTTACCAATTTGAGTTGACAAGCTGATATTTGATGATTTTAAATCCCAAGTAACTGGCCTCAACAACCAAACCGGCTCTGACCAGGCCCTTACTACCCAACAATCAAGGCCAAAAGAAACAAATATAAAGAAATAAAAGAGAAGGTTCCCAGTGGATTGAATCATTCGAAAAGTAAACAATTTTATATTGTTTGGCACCTTTATTTTGGTGAGGACAGGCTATTCTAAGTTAGCATGCTTGTCCTTTGTGCTCCAAGACTAGCCAACCGAGCAAAAGAATAAAAAATATAATGGAAATATAATATCTGATCTATAGTGTAATCAGTTGGGCCAGATGATTTTTAAAGTTAGATAATTAGGTTGTTTCAATTGGATAAAACAAACGCAATGATTTAACGACACAGTACGTAATTTTTAATAATAATAATGGCACTAGTAATAGATATTTATATAAATATATGTATTTCATATTTTAAGCTGGAGTCCCACTTGTTTAGGGTGTATGGCTTATTTTAATTTTTATATATTTCTATACATTGGATTAAGCTCAAATTTAGGGTATTTGTAGTTCTCCCTATTATGCACCAATGAAAAATACAAAATAAATGAAATTATCAAGATGCATCTTACATGCTAACTATATAGCATTTTACTCTTTTTCAACTATTGTAACTCACGATCATGTATGTTTTGATCTAATTTTTGAAATTAATCAAAAGAAATAGGTAAAGTTTTAAAATTTTAAATAGTTCATCTCTTGTTATCCTGATGAATTATCCAAAAAATTTATTTTAGAAGAAACTAAATACCCCTTAATCTTAAAATGGTATCTTACGCTTTCTCTTATGGGTGTAATTTCTATAAGGTTGCAACCTTAAACAATCCAATTAAGGCGTACCTCCAAATTTTATCGTACCATGTAATTTTCATGTAAAAAATTCTTAAGATAATCTGAAAATCTATTTTCATATCCACTTATAAAAATTTAAACTCCAAAAAGGGCTAAAATCAAGTAGATCTATAAACATATGAAAATATTTAAATTGGACGGTCTCGATAGTGTTTTACAAGATGCACTATTGTTGGGATTGAAAATCTTCTTTTCTTTTCTTTTTTATATATATTTATACATTTTGATGTCAAGATGATCAATTAAAGGGTTTTTCAACATTAAAACAACATTTTTTGATGGATTTTTAAGGTGCATATGTAGTTCTACATTTTGAGGTTGCAACACTTATATAAACTTTTCCCCTTCTCTTATTGAAATATAGAGATTAATTTAAATTTTCAAAAATAAAATTAGGATTTTTTGTAAATTTTTAAATAAAAATAATAATAATAATAACCACAACAACAACAGCATTAAGAAAAAAAAAATGACGACAGCAAAATAATGTTTTAAGGTTTGAAAGAAGATATAATGAGAGAAATATGGAGCCATGCTTCCTAGGAGTGATTCCTGAAGGGATACAACAATGTTTTGAATAGAGATGGTCGCCTCCTTTTTCAACTAATGGAATATATTTACATAGGATCACAATGGCCAATGTTTTATGGAATCTTTGGAAAGAAGAAATGGCAGGACCTTTAAACGTATATTCAGAGAGGAGGAGCAATTGTGCCATGCTATAGCTTCAATTACTACTTGGGCACTACCATGTTTTAAATACTACTTGGGCGTTAGCATTTTTCAAAGAAGTAACCAAGGAATTCTTCTTGTCCAACTATAGGGACTTATTGAATCACACGAAAAAGAGGGTTATAAGGGATGGTTTATAAAGAGATCATTTATCTTATGTACATGGAGGTCACAATCATTTTTGTCCTTAAATTTCGAGATGAATGGTTGTAAGAATGTCATTGAATAGACACAAAATTCTAAAAAAAAATATTCTCAGACTTCGTGACTCACTTTAAACCATCTTATTTCATATCTAAAGAATGAGAACGATTGTGACATCCACGTACAAAAGATAAATAGTCTCTTTATAGACAATCTTGAGTTATAAAGCTATCTAAATGGGTCCCCGCTAATGAAAATTAGGTGAGGTTTAACTTTAACGGCATTGTAAAGGATGATGGCCGAACAACTAGTTATGGAGGACTACTAACAAACAGCTATGGATAAATCTATGGACTTATCAAGGCAGGCTACAACCATGCTCAGTTAATGAGACAGAACTTCGGGCAATTAGATTTGGAGTCACAAGATTGGAGGAAAACACATCAAGAGCGATGGTAGAGAGATTCCATTAATGTTATTAATTGGTGTAAGGAGCTGGAGAAGGGACCATGGCTATGGAGCCAAATTATGGAGGAGATTCTATATGCCCTGTGAGGTCTTCAGGTGGTCTTCAATTGTATTAATAAAAATAAGAAAATATATCTCATAATGTTACAACCTTACAATATGGCAATTATACCAAATCATGAAATAAGAGAAAGACATAAAATCTGACGGTCTAAAATGCCAAACTATAGCATTAGATAAAAATGTGGCTTTCTTAACAAGTGTATCCATCACAATGTACTCGAAACGTTCAGATCCTTAATGATACCTTGTCAACATTAAAATGAATAAATAAATGAATAAATAAAATAAAATAAAAATCCTAGGAGTGAGGGTGTGCTTGGAAACCACGTTCAACTTGTTTTTTAAGTTGAGGCTCACATGAATGAATACTATGTTGACCCATGTATGTTTAACATGTCAACCACATGCATGTTTTGTACGGGACTTGTCATCATCATTCATTGGAATTGGAGGCCTGCTTCAATGGCTACTTTAATAATTAATTGTCAATGGAAATTCAAAGTGGAGTAATTAAAAAAGGTTGCAGCTCGTGGGATGCATTGAACGCTCTGAAATATATGGTTCAGCAACTGAGGTCACACCAATTTTTTTCAATTTAAAAAACTTGCTACTCTTGTGGGAAAGAGTTCTTTAAGCTGCAGTTGAACATCAATGAGATTCACAGTTAAAAAGTTGAGAGAGAGATGTTTGGGGAAGAGTCAATAGGGAATCTCGTTTGTGTTCAAATTATATTCTATGTTTAGAGATTGGCATTCCCCAATAGGAGAAAGTTTATATAAGATTGCAACCTCAAAAATCTATCAGAAAATGTTGTTTTAATACCTTCTAATTGATCATCTCGACATCGAGATGTATGAATATGAAAAAAAAAAAAAAATTGAGTCCTAGAAATAATGCATCTTGTAATGTATTATCTAGACCATCCATTTTTAAGATTTTCATATGTTTATAGATCTACTTGATTTTAACCATTTTTGGAGTCTAAAATTTTATAATTCGATAAGAAAATAGATTTTGAGATAATCCTAAAAAAAAATTTCACCATAATTACATGTTATGATAAATTTTGGAGGTGATTGTTTAAGGCTAGAAACCACACCCTTCCCAATATAAACTTATTTGACATGGGGAGAGATTCAACAATCTCGAAGATTAACTTTTCTCACTTCTAAACAAATGCTTCTCAACCATTTCTCCACAATTGCATTGGAATTGGGGCCATAAAAGGACAAGAAAAAATACATTGAAAAGGCTCCCCAAGAAATATTACTACATTAACTAAATAGTACAAGTACTAAGCTCCCCCGGAGCATACAATGTATCTTCTCCATCGCTTAAAACATCTAATTTTTTTAGTCTAAAATATTGGAAAATACATAATAATTACTAGATTATCTTTAAAAGAAAGAAATTTGAATTTTAAGTTTTGTGACACTTAGATCTAACCCTTCAAAAATTGAATGGTCTCTATTCAATCTTTAGACATAAGTTCTTTCTAGAAAGTTTATTTTGAAAAGAATTTGGCCTAGATTATTCTATGGGTTATAAAGATCAATATGACACACTTCAAAAATCTACTAGAAAAGGCTATTTTGATGCTAAAACATCCTCAAATCAGTCATCTCGACCTCAAGAAGTATGGACATGAGAAAAAAAGGCATTTCAAGTATGGAAATAGTCCATCTTGTAATGTACTCTGGGCCGTCAATTTTCAAGATTTTTCAGGTGTTCATAGATTTGCTCGATCTATACTCTTTTTGAAGCTTTAAATTTTATAATTAGATATGAAATAAAGTTTCAAGCCATCACAAAAATTTCAATACCGAAAAAAATATATTCTGAGTATTTAAAGGTGCGCCTTTGATTGTTTGGAGCCTCAGCCCTATACAAACCACACCCTTAATATATATATATAAGGGTAGAAATAAATTTTTACATTTTTACATTAATGCTATGTGTTGAGGAGTGGTAGCGTATGTAAACCTAAATTAAAAATATATTAACTTTATTAAATGCTTAACAAAATACAACTTTGTAAGTTTACTATTATCAAGGGTAAAGGATAGCAAAGGCTTTGTCAACTGCCAAGGCGGTTTTCTAGAACCAATGCGAATAGTTGTTCAGACCACAAAGAACCATGTATTGAATTCCAAATAATTTTTGTTCAGGGTTTGGTTCATATCCTGCATGGAGGCATTTCTTTAATTTTTTGAGAATAGGAGGGGCCTCCATGGAGGCATTTCTTTAATTTTTTGAGACTAGGCAGGGACCATCCTCACCAAAAAGTAGCGGACAAAATCCCTGATCCAATGCAACTGTTGTTTCATAGTATAATGAAACGACACTTCTAAAAAATCATGTTTGTGGTAGTTGTATGACTTCAAATTTTGCACACACACTCTCTTCATCTCAATAATCAATCCCCCCTCCCCCTCCCCCTCCCACTCCCAAAAAAAGTTCAATTTGAACCTTATATATGATCAAAATGAGTCCCCTCCAAAAACAAATCTAGACCATTCATTTTGTGAATTTCAAGATCTTAGCTTTTATAAACTCAAAATAATTTTTTTCTTTTTTAACATTATTCATCAAATGATAATAAAGCCGTCCAAAAAAATTGGAAATGAAAAAATACTTCTAAGGCCTAGATCTAAGCATCTCACCAAAATGAACGGTCTATGTTAATTGGGCTAAAAAAATACTTTTTAAATTATATTTCCATTTTTTTTTCTTTCTTGTGATTGATGATTAGAATGAAAAGAGTGCATATTTCAAATTTTGGATCAAACAAATGGCCATGAGATGGTTTTTAAAATTGTTGCATCATATTACTATACAACGGTTGCATGAAATCATATTACCATACAACAGTCGCAAGTGTGTGTATGTGTGTAAATATGTTTGGGTCGGGTTGACTTGGACCCAAACTCGACCTAGATCCAACTGAGGTCTAGTGTTTTGGACTCGGGCCCAACATAGATCTGACTTGGGTCTAAGGTTTTGGACCCAAACTCAACCCACCAGGTCCAAAAGTTGGACCTGGACTCGAATCCAGATCTATTTGAGCCGCTGGATTGTCGGCTCGACCCAATCTGATTGCCACCCCGAAGAGTCATTTTTCAAGACCTTTGCCATTTCATTCTTTTTCATAGTTTTTCTGACATATTGAAGTTGCCAAAAGTCCAAGCAAGACCTTCCTTTTGCAAAAGGATCTCGTTACATCAATGGGCACATGATATATGGTCTAGAGAGAGAGAGGAGCCCATGATAAATGGTCTAGAGAGAGAAAAAAAGTTGACACATTTATAGGCTTGAGAGAAGAAAAGGTTGGAGTCTATATGAAACGAGACACATGCCGCAATAGGGAGAGGGATGATCCAGCCAGCTCAATTCCCTATGCAGTTTGTATAGAGCTGAGGCTCTAAACAATCAGCATACTTTCAATTGGTGTTTTAAAACTAAAATTTTTTATAATAGCTTTAAAATATATTTTTATTTTTATTTATAAAATTTAAAGCTTAAAAGATAGTGCAGATGAAAGAAATCTATAAAACTTGAAAACTTTGAAAATTGACGACTTAAAAATACATTACAAGATGCACTAATTCTAAAACTTGGAATTATTTTTTTTCTTATGTCCATGCATCTTGATATCGAGATGATCAATTCGAGGATATTTAAGTATCAAAAAAATTTCTTTTAGTGAAATTTTTGAGGTGGGCTGTAATTTGATTGTTTAGAGCCTCGGCTCTATGTAAACTTTTTCTTATAAGGATTGCCTCTATGGGAGCATAGTATGTATTTATTTCCTCATTTAAAAGGCCCACTTGGTGAGTACTTTTTTAATCTGAAATTCAAGAACCTGAGAATCACTAGATGATTATTTAAAAATAAATAAATAAAATAAAAAATATTGAATTTTTATTATTTTGATGCTCCCATTAAAATTGGATGGTGTATCTTCAATTTTGAGACGTCACTTTTTTTCGTATGTAGAGAGCTAACTCGGAAACGCTTTGGAGGCCAGTCTACAGGTTGAAGAGGTTACAACCCTAAAATTTGGGGTCCTAAACGTACTCCTCCATTGGTTTTTTACCCAAGGGAGTAGGTAGAAAGCATACACCTGCGGGAGTATAAAAACCTTTGGGAGTTTTTTCATGCTTAATACCTATGAAATCATTCAGCTTTAAAAGACCAGGCTGTGTTTCTTTTTCAGGATTACCCAAAATTGCGTAGTAAGGTTTTCTGAAGGTCACAAATTTAGGGTGTTCATAATGCTCTTTTAGAGAAAATACATAGACCATTTACCATTAGTATCGGGGAGTTACAATTAATGTTGACCATTAGATATGAACTTGGCTGGCTGCATTTATTTCATCAACAATGCTAAAACTTTAAAAGAAAATTTCTCTTATACCTCAATTAATCAGAGATTTGGTTCCAGCTTTTCATCACTAAGAACGCGCTTTTATACCTCAATAGATTTGAGGCCCCTTTCATATGAAAATGGATATAATCCTGATTTTTTTTTTTTTTTTTAACATTACCAAAGCTGTAGTCATGGTTAAAAATGAGAATATGCTTTCCGTGAGGTATGGTGTCTACCACTTTCCTACAAGCAAACATGTAAAAGGTGGTGGACTATTGAGAGAGACTTTTGTTTTGGCACCCAGCATGTTTATGTTTTTTTTTTTTTTTTTTGATGTCCATATAGCAAGGGTGATCACTTAGTGCAATGGTAAAAAACTCGGGTAGCCAGAGCGGATTCGAATATTGAGAGTGGCCACTTTGTGCATTAAATCAAACGTTAGGACCATTTAGAGCCCACTCCTCCCCCGACCCTGTTTAGGTGGGACTCGTACTAGGTTACAGCCCTTTAATGTGCATATAGCCTGTTTTTAAAGGACTATATTGCACACTTATTCCCTTAGGCAAAAGAATTGTTTGGGAGAATTTTTTTGATATGATATTTTATTATCTATTTAAGAATCACTAGATTACTTTAGAAAAATGGATCGTAAATGCTTCAAGATTTAATGTTGTTCCTAAAAAAATTGGACGATAGTCGATCAATCTTGTAAGGCTATTTTTTTCAAGCACATAGAGTGCAATATATTTACCTTTCAGTTATTTATTAGGTTTAGGAAGTCATCTTTAAAAATTGGAGTCCCAAAAAATTCCAAAATTAAATTTTACAGAAGGGAATAAATAAATAATATACTCCAGCACAGAAGGAGTACGGGGTGCAACCACATTCCCAAGACAAAGTGAGGGCTCACCACATCAATTTGTACATGGATGAATCTCTAGTCACCTATTCACATGGAGGCGTACAAGTCGATCCCCTTATGTTTATCTGTTAGAGAGGGAGAGAGAGAGGTCGCTCCCCATGTTTTACGCAAGACAGAGAGAAACGGTGGCAATTGGTCAGGCCAGCTTGGCTCTGACCTTAGCCTTGTTAAGGTCGGGTCGGGCAAAAATAAATGAAAAAAAAATCAAAATAAGCACAAAAATAATAATAAGGACCTTAACCATGTTAAGGTTGGGTCGGGCAAAAAAAACAAGTGAAAAAAATCAAAATAAAAACAAAAATAATAATAGGAGGCCAGGTGGAACTAGATTGGCACCGATCCTACCTTAACCCTCAGGCCAAGTTTGTGGCCCAAACCCTACTTTCTTAAGGTTGAGGTAACCGGGCACGACTAGGCCACCTAGCCCATTGCGAGCCCCAAGAGAAAGAATCTCTCAATTATGTCATATCCCATGATTTATGGGAGAGACATCCATGAACTTCACCTAAAGGCTCAGATGAGAGAGAGAGAAAAAGAGGGGCCAATTCACTTCCACCTAGATAGATGCTTGCACCCCATGCCTTGAGGCCACAAATTTCCACAAAGTGTGGTTTGTATGAGGTTGCAACTTTAAACAATCAAATTATTAAGAGACACCTCCAAATTTTATCATAAATATAATTTTGGTGTTAAAGATTCTTAAGATGGCTTAAAAATATTTTTTTATCTCTAATTATAAAATTTTAACTTTTTTAAAAAAAAATTCAAATCAAGTAGATATATAAGTACATGAAAATCTTGAAAATAAACAAGAGAAAATATCTCCATAAATCTCACTTTTAAGTTTTATTTATCTGTAAATTCAAGGTTTTAACACCTATTCATAAATATTTATTCAAGGTTTTAACACCTATTCATAAATATTTTATTTATTATATCTTCAAACCTCTAGACCAACTTTATCTTATTTTTTAGCCCAAATAAATTTTACAAATACATCATTTTTAAACTCATCTCTCCATGTTTTTTTCTCTTAGCAATCTCTCAAACCGCTCTTTCTCTCTTCCCCCAACTCTCTCTCCCTCCCCGTGTCTCTCTCTCCCCCCAACTCTCTCTCTCTCCCGATGAGAGAAGCAGGTGAAGATAAAGAAGGAGAGAGAAAGCTAGATTTTTTAGAGAGATTATTTTCAAATTTGTTTGCGCTAAAAAGTTAAAATAAAAATGAGTAAACATAGTTTTGAGGTTAGAAGATACAAAAGAGAAAATATCTATATTGTAAGATAGGTTTTGAAAGTTTTGATCTATAAAGAAATAAAATTTAAAAATTGCATCTATAAATATATGTTTTCAATAAATAATCCACATAATATGTTATAAGATACATTATTCTTAAAACTTGAAATCTTTTTTTCTTCACATATTTATACATCTTGAGGTAAGATAATCAAAGGGTATGCCAACATCAAAACAGCATTTAATAATGAGTTTTTGAGGTACATATTAATTATGCATTTTAAAGTTGGCAACATTATATAAACTTTTTCCCTATTTTATTATTATACAAATCAATATACCTTTTTTAATGTTATTATTAAAATTCATTAATATGTCACTATTAATTAACGAATGAGTAAGAATGAAGACAGAGGTGGGGCTCAGGGCCGGTATATGTATACAAACTTTTTTATATAAAAACCCCATTTCTCCACTCTTTCTAGAACGCGTAGCTTCAAAAGAGGATAGAGATAAAATAAAGTTACACACTTTATTCCTTCCCTCAGTCTTCAGTAAATCTCAAAAGTTTTAGAGAGAGAAAACAAAGTTTAGAGAGAGAACGAGAGACAGGGATTGACTGCAATATACACCCACAATCTTGGTCCCAAAACCCTCACGCGTGTTCCTGAGCCAGCCCCATTACAGGTTTTCCTACCAAATTCAATGGAAAAGTTGTGTTTTACTTCTTCATTCATGGCCATGGATCCTTGGAGATAAAAGTTGGGCTAAAATCTGGGAAGAATCAGTGTTTTTCAGTTCATTCATGTCTATGGATCCTTGGAGATAGAAGGGAGTGCCATGGAAGAGAATCAATGGAATGTAAAGCTCAGAGACCAGCGAAGGCGCTCGAGAGGAGCTCTCGACCTGCGAATCTTTTGCTTCACCATCCTTTTATCATTGGGGGCCTTCCTCTTCCTGTTATTCTCTCTCATGGTATTCAGAGGTCAGTGTTTCTGATAACCCTGTTTGTTTCTTCCACCACCCAATAAGAATCAGCAATTGGATCTTTGAAAGTTAACATGTAGAGAGAGAACCCAATTTGTGATTTGGGTTTCTGAGATTTTCATTAATTCATGAAAATTTAGATGTAGAGAGATTAGAGAGCAACCCATTTATGATTTGGGTTTGTTTCTTTCATCAATTCTTGAAATTTTATATGTAGAGGGCATTTTGTTACTGTTATAATTCTGTGAAACTTTGCCTTATATAGCAAATTCGCACTTATTGCTGGAACGTTTGATTTGTGGGTTATTTTCAGACAAGAATAAAAGGCTTTCATCAAATAAAGATGTTTATAGAAAACCAAACTTGCCGGTGCCGTTTATTCTTTTTGAATTTATTAGATACATGGAAAAATAGTTCTTCTTTTTTTTTCCTTTTTCTTTTTCTTTTTCTCTTTTTTTTATTTTACTTTGCATGAGAGAAGTTAAACCCCAAGACTTCTGTTCCTACAAATTGGGTGTGTGGCCAGCCAAAGGCCTGGTTAGAAATGGTTATTTTGGTTTCTGTTTTGCCATCAACCAATGAAAATTAAAAAATATGAGAATGGAAGATATATGTAGAGAGAAAAGTCTCTGAACAGATACAGAGTGTGAGAAGTAGTCCCCTTGGTGTTTAAATGTCTCTTTTAGGCAGATCTTCTGCCTAATATCTTTCTTTTCTTCTGGTTGTTGCAGAGTCTTTCCGGCCAATTTTGATTGTGCCTCGAATTTCATCCTCCTCAGCCATGGCCATGAGTGCCAGAGATAGCAGATCGAACAACAACGGAGGGTCTCATCCTCCACTTAAGCTTTATGATCAAGTGGTTTTTCCAGATCATGTACTGCTGATAATTCACCAAAATCGCGTCCCCACTCTGAACACGCATCAACTCAGTTGCCTTTATGAACACAAATTAGAGGTCCCGTCTGAAATACTGACCCTCCCTGTTCTCTCTATTGACCGGGATGATGAATCGAATCTACAAATAGCCAGATGTCCCCTCCCCCCAACCAGTTACTCCCACCCTCGTCTCACTTCGATGGCCAATAAGCCAGAGGGGGAGAGGAGTGACGACGGCGATGAAGAGAGAAGTGTCAAACTCTCAGAAGAGGTTTCCCCTCCTCATTGGGAGACTCTGGTTTACGAAGCCATGACTGATGGAGATTCAGTGGTTGTGTTTGCTAAAGGCTTGAATCTCAGACCAGACAGGGCCTCTGATCCCGCCCAATTCCTCTGTGTTTTTGGCTGGAATCTTAGTAAACCCAAGTTTATCTTTACCACCAAAGCCATCACAGCCGCTCAGGAGGTAATCAGATGCTCCCTTCCTCTAAGCATTAAAACAAAGCCCTCCAAATCAGAGGGAATAACCGTTTCTATTAAGACCCAAACCAGAGGCATACTCGCCTCTGTTGCAAAGTTAAAGAACCAGAACAAACATAGGAGAGAGAAACCAACCTATAAGCACACCATGTGTGTGTGCACCATGTTATGGAACCAAGCCCAATTCCTCAAAGAATGGATCATGTACCATGCCGAATTGGGAGTGAGTAGATGGTTTATATATGATAACAATAGCGATGATGGCATAGAAGAGGTTCTTGGTCCTTTGCGTCAAGCCTACAATGTGACCCGCCGTACCTGGCCATGGCTCAAGACCCAAGAGGCCGGTTTCTCACATTGTGCAGTGCAAGCCCAAAGAGAGTGCAAATGGGTTGGTTTCATGGATGTTGATGAGTTCTTCTACCTTCCATCCACCTCTCACAGTGAAGGGCCTCCCCTAATTGGGATTTTGAATGAACAGGCCAAAGAGGTGGGTGAAGTTCGTACATCTTGCCACAGTTTTGGGCCTTCAGGCCATAGGCGAGCCCCTTCAAAAGGGGTTACAGTGGGCTATACGTGTCGACTTGGTAGCCCTGAGAGGCACAAGTCGATAGTTAGGCCCCGGGCCTTGGACAGAGCCCTGATCAATGTGGTGCACCATTTTCACCTGAAACCTGGGTTCGTCTTTGTGGACTTACCAAGAGGGGTTGCAGTGATAAATCACTACAAATATCAGGTCTGGGATGTGTTTAAGGCCAAGTTTTATAGGAGGGTTGCTACTTATGTAGCAGATTGGCACGATAAGGAGAGAGAGGGTTCAAAGGACCGGGCTCCTGGGCTTGGGACCGAGGCAGTCGAGCCACCCAATTGGGCTCAACAGTTTTGTGAGGTGCTTGATACAGGGTTGAGGGATTATGTTATGGGGAGGTTTATGGATACTGAGACCAGGTTGCTCCCATGGGAGTGAACCTCTTGATGTTGAAGGGGTTATTTGAGAGAAGTTGGCAGTGAGTGTAGATGAGATCTGAGAAATTTGATGATCGATTGATTGCTTCGAGTTGATTTAATGGTAGTTTGAGACTATTGACGCTGATGTTTGTCACTATTTGAGATTCTTAGCGAGACGGCAGTGAAATCAAGAGAACAAGAGTCTTAATGTGCAAATCAGTTCTCATTTTTTCTGCTAGGGAGTCTTCATTAGCAAATTAATTCAGTGCCTATGGGGGAGGAGAAACGGGTGAGGATGGCCTGAACTTTTTCTTGGTTATGGATGTTTGGTTCTAACAATGGGTCTACTGCCTCTCTCAGGATTTGTTGAATGAACTATGGTTTATACTTCGTACACAAAGATTCATTGAGGTTGAGTTCCTAACATTGTGTCTACTGTGTATCTCAGGATTTGTAAAATGGAGGGTGGTTTGTACTTTGTATACAAAGATTCATTGTTTTGCTGTACTTATTTTTCAACATTTAGTCTATGAAACTTCCTATATTCAGAATGAAAAGTTGCATTTATTTGGAATTGCTGCACACTTGATTACTAAAGCTCATCTCTCTCTCTCTCTCTCTCTCTCTCTCTCTCTTTCACACACACTCATGCGGCCATCTGCACATTTGGGCAAATTTACCAGGATGAAAATTCTTCATATACCAAGGTTTTCAATTTGTAAATGACTATGAATGAGACTAAACATTTATGGGGCAGAAATCAGGGAACCTTCAGTCAAATCTAGTATTCGTTCTCACATGTAGTTGCTGATCTTTAGTTTCACTGCATAGATTTGAGAGTTGCAAGTAAATTGGAGCACTCGAACACACAGATACTTATCAACACTAGCTCCACTTGTAAGGCATGATCACACCACTTTTTCTAATTGTACGGCCTGAACTTGGTGATGCGTGAAGAAGATGCAAGCTAATGAGGCTGCTTTTCGCTCAAGTAAGAAGTCCATAGAAGATCAAGAAGAGTAGGGGAGCCTGCCCTCTATTCTCATGGTACAGGTAATCAAAGCATTTTGTGCTGAGGATTGTAAGCAAAGGCCACATTTAGGGGCATCATTGTGCCTTGTGTGTTGTTCCTCTTAGGACGGCTGTCACATGTGGTTACGCCACATTGCCGTCAGATGTGCTTGGCAAAAAAACTACATTTAGAGCACCATCCTGAGTGAAAAGATGATTGTCCTACCCCTTTGCAGGCATACTAGCCCATATAATGTAACATCTGCAAGATTTGGGGTAAACATCTTTCCTGATGTAACAATCTGCTCAAACCTACCAAGGTCATTGCACTTACACACTGAGCAATCACCTCCTTCTATCATGTACGTTCAGGGATCTGAGTCATGCATGTTTGTGATTGCCACCTGATAAACCTTGGTTTCAATTAGCCTAAAGAATTGAAACCAGCTTCAAAGATGCATATGATTTCATAAAATTTGTTAATTGGCAGAATCCATGATGTATATTTGAATCAGACTGACTTCCTTGTTCTCGTATGGTATAATCCTCTTTCTGTTGAGCCAACCGCTTTTCTCCTCGGCTCACAGAGATAAAACGTAGGACTGGTGCCGACTATTCATCACAAAAGAAAGGACTCACTGTGCCGGGACAGGCCAGGGCTGGCCTGGAAATAAATGTTAATGAGTTTTCTCAAAAGTGGTTCTTTGTTGGCAAGTAGACATATTCCTCAAGAAATAAGTGCAACATAAATAAAATGAAATACAATCAAATAGAACCCTCAGGATTGGGCAAGCCGTTATGGGGTTGTCAACCACACCTTCGGCTTAAAAGTGGGATACCCACTTTGGAGTGAGATGTGTTGGTAGTTCGAATTCTCTCTTGCAAACTAAGCTAACTTAGACCTGCATGTGGTTTTTTTGGTAAGAAATCCTTTCAAAATGAACATTCAAGAAGGTTTCATTATTACATTTCTTAGATGTTATTTGCATAAAAAGATGCCCAAGTCTGTCTACCAAGGATCTGTATTAATGGTTAAAACTAGGGGCGGCAACAGGCTGGGCCTTGTTCCCATAGGGCCAGCTCATGCCCGGCTGGCCCTAAAGGGCCAGGACCGGGCCAAGCCAAAAACAAATGAAGAAAAATGGAAGAAAAGATAAAAAAATGAGGGGTTGGCTAACACTGCCCCTAGCCCGGCCCTTAGGCAGCCCAACCTTACATTTTTAGGGCTGGGCCAAACTGCCTGGCCCATTGCCCGCCTTTGTTAAAATAGCTCCAAGAAAAGAAGGAAATTATTTATAAATTGGGGGAAAATGTGGAATACTTAGCTGTAAGGTAGGGATGTTTTGCTAATAATGGTACAAAATCACGCTGGGCGTCTTTTCACTCATGAATGGGTGGCATGAAAATTGCTCTTGTTCCTGAAATTTAGGTGGTCCAAACTTCAAATTTGTCAAACAGATTTCAAATTGGATGGTAGTTAGTATGTCATTGACTAGACTTAAAGTTGAAAAAATATATACCTCTTAAAGATGGATGCAAGTAGGTGGTCTGTCTAAAAACAATAGAAACTGACGGTCCAAATGTTTTTTACTAGAATTATTATTATTAGTTTTTAAAATTTATTTATATATTCATATTCATGAACTTACATGTCTTTAAAGTTTAAGTCTTAAAATCCATCTCAAAAATAGATTTATTAACAGGCCCGCATTTCTACATATGCGAGCTTTGGCGTATAGAAACTGAGTCCCTATAAAAAGGCTCTTAAAAAGGTCAAAGGTTGTCCAACATAGTTGACCTCCATGGAAAATTAGGACTTTCTGAAAAAATGCTCTGAGTAGAAATTTAGCCACGATAAAAATACTACTACTCCATCTTAACCACGATTAAAGGTCGATCGAAACTTTGGCGAGCAATAAGATAGTTTAGCATAAACCAAACCTCTGCTTAACCGTAGCGAAAGCTCGCCCAACACAGTTAACCATGGCGAAAAGTCGGGAGTCTGAGTGAAGGGGACTCGGCACGAAAGATCACCCAACAGAGTTAAGATTGCAGAAGATCGTTAAGTAGGCTCACATGGTCACATAGACTTAACCATGGCCAGAAATTTAGCTACTTAATCTTAACCACTGTTAAAGATTTTGATCAGAAGTGCCAAAAATACAGCTACTTGACTTAACAGTGGTTGAAGGTGAATCAAAAGTTTGGCCAGCAAAAGAATAGACTTTAGCCTCAGTTGAAAACACCCGCATGTTTATCAGAATATGTCTCTAGGCAAGGTGGGATTAAACTTTCACAAAATCATACATTACCATAAGTTATAGAAAATTCTTTAACAAATTACAAAATTATATGTTTTCAACCCCTTATCTAAAAATAGAAACCACAAGAAAATTATAGCCAAGCTTCATTAAAGACATCATAAAACTTTTTGAGGTATGTGAGAGACCCTGGAAAAATTTTATAATAGTCTTTTCCACTCTAAAAATATTTACATAAAAAAGATTTTGGAGCTTATAACTGCCTCTTCAAATGTTGTTCATCCATTTGAATGAACATTTTAGAGAGCTTCATAAAAGAAAGACTAATGCGATCTTATCGCGGAATATATTTTTTTATTTTTATCTTTTTTTTTCTTTTTCTTTCTTTTGGCAAAGATCAGTTACAAGTGGTTTTGTTACAATAACTCTTGCTTCAAAGAAAATTAAACTAACAAATCCAATATCTTAAAAACCTTGATGCCATGAAACCAATTTTCTTTAAACAAAAAAAGTCCACAATTCTTATGTTTGGGAATATAAAGACAATATAATTAAATATGACAAGAAACAAAATAAGCGTGCCGGAGATCACCTCAACAGGGCTTATTAAACCCCACACCGAGTCACCAATACGGAATCAATGATCAACCTTCAATCTTAACCGGAAAAGCAAGTTTAGGCCAAGCCACACCAATAGAAATTAACCCCTTTGATCACAAACTCAAACCTTAGGTGAATTCTCTTAGCAAACTAGTTTGAGAAAGATGGATTCTCTTTTTGCTACACTCTAGAACCCTTAGCCACAAATCTATAGTTGACATATGAAAGAGAGAATAATCCCATAGCCTAAACCCTTAACTCATTTTTACAACGTGGGAGAGAGTGATCAAATATGAGAGAGTGGGGTGTACCCCTTTTGGGCTTTCATGAGAGAGAGAAAAACTTTCTTAAGAGAGAGATAGAAAGATAAAATATGGAGATTTTGGATAGAGACAATCATTTTTTATAGGTTTTGAATAAGACTAGTGTTCCGTAGAGTTTTCCTTGGCTTCCATCTTCTTGTGAGATGGAATATGAACCATTGACCTTGGATGACTTGTGGGGTGAGAGATTTGAGTCATCCATTCCATAAATGGGCCATCAATATTTTGGAAGGTGCTAGAACTTTTATCCCTCTTTCCTAAACTATTTTCTCTTCAAAATAATATTAAGCATACCAAAATAATGCACAAGTCTATTCATGCTTTCCAAAAATTCATTCAAAGCTTATTCAAGCCAATGCCTTGCCAAAACACATAGCAACTTGGCCTACAAGCCAAAATCACTTATCACAAAAATAGAAAGCTTTTAAATGGGTGGGGTGTGCCACCCATGAGAGGATCTCATGGGCCCCACCATCTAGGCTATGGTGGCCCATGTGCACAATGGGCCGCCCATGCAATTTTAAATATTTTTAAAACTCAATAAAATAATTTTAAAATTTATTTAAATATTTAAATCAATATAAAATCTATAGCTCTGATTTTATAAATCCAAATTTGATAAATAAAATATCTAGAGATCTAAAAAATTTAAATAATAATTTTAAAATCATATATATCATAAAACAAACATAATTAAATTCATTAGATGGGAAAATAATCCATATGGTCTTGGAATTAAATCAATCAAACACTAGGGCACTCCACCTTCAAATGTGAACTACAGACCACACTTACTTTATCAAACCGACTCAATGTTTCACGTGACCCACAGTCCATACAGGGGCTCATTAGTAGGTCACCAAAGTCTGGTCGATGAGCCAAGGGGTCGCAATCCCAGTCTATGGATTTCAGGTTCTCACCTACAAACAGACCAAGGTCACTTAGACCTGATGCGACCATAGCTCTTATGACGCATAGGGGTATCTCTCACCCTTGCATACACTTCACCTTGAAAGGTGACTTGCTTTCCCGAAACATTCTATCAATATGCATGTCGTGTGATGGTACATGGATGAGGCTTTGGCCTACGTCTCTGAAGGCCATCATCTCACACAAGGGTTACACAGTCCCTCGGCTCACTCATCCGGGCATACTCCGACCTCATCAAGGGATGACCCATTAGAACATTTATCGGTTTATACTCTATGCTCAGATAACATGGGTTTTTCCAATCGACTGGCCAAGCACAGTCCGGTATTAACAAAAAACGTTTGCTTAGTATGGTCCACAAGGGACCACACTTCCACTAAGTTCATGTTCCACTATATCATTTCATTTTATATGCACTCATAAGGCCTTTAATGGTCATACTCACCCAA